TTTATAATGCGTCAACTCGATGCTAACAAACTACGCATCTGCTTGGGCAGTAATTGAAATCAAAGAAATAACTAAACATTTATGATATGTAGAAGTCGTCGAACTAAACTACAGGGTCAGAATAATTCTTTTTTTTTTTAGTCCAAAGGGGCTTTGTCCCTGAAGGACTATTGTTTTCGTTTTGCGATTTTGCGTCGGACTCATAAACGTCGGTTCACTTTTCAAACTGTTGCCACAAAATGTTAGAGTCCTGCATTATATTTGAAGAAAGAAAAATTAAATAATGAAAAATCTGCATAAATGATTGTCTATTTCTCGCATTGTGATAAAACAATGGTACATAGAGCCATCGAATTTTGAATGACGAATCCTACTGCGAATATGGGCATCTGAAATCCCAAATTTGGAATTTGTTTTATTATAGATTTTTATATTTGTAAAAACTTTAACGAATTTTTGATTTACAAACTCAATGCTTTAAAAGCGAGAAATGGCAACGTTATATAGAAAAAAAATACTTTTATCTCCAGCTCGCGAGACTGTGTATATCGGAAATTCTAAAGATATGCTTAATTTAACATTATTTTGCGATATTGCTCTTGAACTGAATTTTATGGTTTAAGTGCAAAGAACATGATATTTAATAAATAAAGGTAACACTCAAAACGTTAAAAAAACGCCCCTTTGGACGTAATTTAAAATCTGAAACATTTCAGATTTTTTATTTTTATTTTTATTTATTTATTTATTTATTTATTTTTCTTTTAACCCTGTCGAAAATTAGTGGCAGCAAGTAAATGCAATTAAGCCACACAAATGAGCAATAACTCTGGGAGCACATGCTTAAACAACAGAGCTGGCGGCAGAATCCTAACTCTCTCTTTCCTACTGAACCTCGGTTTTTCAACTCTTTCTTCAAAGTAGAATTTGCATTCCCTCACGCCTGCTACCAAATTTAAATATTCTGGCACTGACAATTAGGGAAATAAAGGCTTATAGGAAAGAATAACAAATTAAATAAAAGTGGTTATTTAAAATAAATATAAATCCCTACAATCATTTCAAATTTTCTCATCGTATTAAGGTTGTATTCACTCTATTAAGGGTATATAACTGTAATTCATTTATGTTTATTACATACCTGTATAAACCAGAATGTACAGAAAATACAGAGCGTATTATATATGATGCAAAAGTGATTATATTGTCATTTTCTAACGTATTACATTGCAAATACTTTTGAGTATAAGTTGTCCAGAAGCTACATAACTTTTGCATTCGTTTCTTAGAATTTAATATTTAAAGACACTTCAGGTTTTTCCAAAATTTCTAAATTGTATTAAAATCTGAGATCTTATTATAGCTTATAAAAAACTTAACCATATTTCTTAATTTAAGAACTCCCCCCTTTCAAAATAGAAATATTTCAAGAAAAGGAAAAAAAATCTCTTTGGCTTGCAAATATTTATAATACCTGTACTTCTTATAATAATAACTATATTTCTTAATTAATTTAATACCTTTCTTCCCTTCTTTCTCTAAGCTGAAATAGTTTTAAAAAATCTACTTGGCTTGGAATATATTTTTTCAATTGTTTAGATTTTAACATTGTTTTCTCTTCTTAATTTCTCTCTTTCTTAATTGCTTTTCTTCCAGAAAAAGAGCTAAATTATTTTGATAGCTGGGTGAAAGAAAAACCGTTTTAGTACTATATTTATAGGACGTTTACCTATTTCAATATTTTGTTATATAAATAAATGTTTTGTTTTGAATTAAAATCTCCTGTAAATCAACACAATCAGAACTTCCAAATTAGTTAACGACAACCTTAGATTTCAAATTAGCGATTTGTTTCTTACCTGTAATTCTGAACGAGTAGTTATGGGTACAGAAATCAGTAGATCGAAAACGTGGTTCTGAAAACTAAATTACGGAAAATATATATTTATATTTATTTACATGAGTTATACAAAACGGGCATTCTCTATCATCATTATTTCTCCATCGACAAATTATAATTTTATGAGATTTTTAAGCTATAAATTTAAAATAACACTCTTATACTAAATAGCTTAAAAATCTCATAAAATTATAATTTGTCGATGGAGAAATAATGGTATAAGTTTAAAATAACACTCTTATACTAAATAGCTTCAATATCTTTAAATAACTCTATTAAGGTAAAAATATCGTATAAATTGTTTCATTTGGTGATTAATGTGAATCACTTGTTTTAAATGTTTCTGCATTTCTTTGCTTTTCTGTTCTCTTAACATTTAGAGATTAAATTTAATACAGTATTACACAGTGTATTATGCAAACGCATAACAAATTTGCATGAAATAAAAAAATTCCAGTTCATAAATCAATCCGCGTTACCGAAGTTGAATTAACGAAAATCTGTGCTACTCACTTCTGAGAATATACATTATACTATAAGACTATAGGAATGGGACTTGCCAGAAATGGGGCACAAATACTTCATAAATAAGGATTTGGAAGGTAATAAAAGTATTTAGGAGAAGAAGTTATGAGATTAGTTTGTTATTAAAATCTGATGGCAAGGCTCTGATGCTCTACTTCCTTTCAGACTTTCTTTTTCTTTAAATAATTCTGGACTTTCTTTAAAGTTTTAATTTGATTTTCTTTATTATAATCTGAAATGATTTCAAACTGTAAAGTGTCAAAAAAGGCATCAATATATAAGAAAAATTGTTCTTAGTATACTTTTAATTGAAAAAAAAATAGATTATACGACTTCTTTAATATAAAAGATATCTTCTTTATTTACTTTTGGCACACTTAAGTATGAAAACAACGTTTGTACCTTTCATTTTAGAATTTAGACAATTAAAACTGAATTTCAGTTATATTTACTTTATTTCAAATGAAAATTGTCTGTGCTTATGAAAATAAAAGTAATTACACTACTTAAGTTTCTAGGAATAAATTTACAACCTTTGTTAAAATTAAAAAATAACGAAAATATATAACTTACCCTTTTACAGAAAAGAAATATTTGGTTTTCCTACAGTAAAAGGCCCGGAAATTATACAGTTTTTAAGAACTTTCGATTGACTCTCCAGGAATTGGATTTCTGCTATGAACAAATTTCCGAGGAAATTTATTTGTTTCTTTTAATGCGGCAAAGAACTGATGTTTGTCCCGATAAAAAAAATTCCATGAAGTTATATTTTACCTTAAAATAAGTTTTCCTTCTCCTCGATGGTGGCAGACTTCACTTTAATGAATCAATGTTTTATAGTATGCAAATTTCCAAGTTATGACAGTGAGATTTTTAAATTCCTTTGTGAAAGATTCTTTTCTTAATTTTTCTAAGCTGTTTAAATACGACTGCGGAAATTAATTTCTTTTCATTGTCTATTTCTGCAAGCGATGCATTAAAGCAAAACTTGATGTGATTAGGAAAAATAATTAAATTTGACGTAATAGGACGTAAATTAGACGTATTATTTAGTAACTGTTATTTGCAAATAAAATTGAAAAACACAAGCTTCGAAAAGAAATGCGAGCCACAAAAAAAATAATGGATGTTTTAAACTGAAACTCAGAAAACTGCATACCTGTTATTCTGTTTCTAAAATATATAATTAATTACCAAATTAAAAGCGTTAATACATTCACGTCAATAACTCCAAAACTCTTAATTCGAGTATTATAAGTAACAAAAGTATCATAAATTATTTCTGATACATCAATAAAAAAGTAATTTTATTATTATATTGTTTTAAACAAGTTTTATGCATCAGAATTTAATAGATTTCGTAAGATTCATTTCTCTTGTAAGAATTACTATTTGTCCCATATCTACGGTTTGCTGAAAATAAGAATAAGCCGCGTTAATATTATTTCTTTTAAGTGCGTAAGTAATTCGTTATTTCATGTGCGAAAGAAATGAAAAAGAAAATATCATTTACGTTACTAAAATTTCTTAATGAAATATCTTCAGTGTGTTTTCGTACTATATGGGTGAGGGAAGAAAGGAAAGAGAAATTTAAAATATCTGCATGTATTCCTTCATTTTAGGAAAAAAATTAATACTGCGTTTTTAATGAAAAAAAAATTAGATCAGATATATTTTTCCGAATTTGGTGGCTAATTATTATTTGCACAATTAATTAATTTATCCTACAAATTGAGTGTCGGCATCCTAATTAGAACACACATCAGAAATTATTTCCTGTGTATCGTCTGCATTTAAAAGATTGTTAATTTAAATGCACTTATCTCAGTTTCATGTTTTCCACTTAATTCTTATAACTTAGATTATTGAAGCAATGCTTAAAAGATTTTGGTATTTGTTGCTAACACTATGTAGTAGAAAAGCTATTTTAAGTACATAAAATTATTCAAATGTGTTTTAAAAATTTGTTAAAAAGTGTTGCCAAGTGCTAAATATAAAAATGAGAAATGCGTTCATATTAGAATCAAGCACAAAATGACTTTTCTGAAGACATATATTAGTTTTAAAATAAGGCATTAAACAAATATTGAGTGTTACTAGGATATTTATTAATTTTAAACTGATTAATTTTGAATTAATAATAAAATTTCAAAATAACATTAGCATCTTGAAAATTTGAAAATAATTTAATTCCTTTCCTTTTAAAGTTGAAATAAAAGTTTGTAACACTATGAAAATTTTTAAAAAATTTAAAAACAAGACCTTGTTTGCTTTTATAAAATGATTTTAAATATTTTCAGTTAAGAATTATTCTTTTTAAGAAATAATTTGAATATTTAAAAAGTTTTGAGGACACATCTCATGATTCTTAACACAGATATTCTATTCTCCGAAGGAGACTAAAAAAGAGAAAGAAACGATATTGTTTACAAAATAACGTGAGGACATTTTGCAAAGAAGAATAGTTTTATTAATGGTTAAAAAATGTTTCTTAGAATATAAAATTTCCTAACATGAGAGAATTAATCATGTGACTAAATAAAGTCTAAATTGCCACTTGAAAAAAAGCACTCACCAAAAGAAATGCAGCTCATATTTAAATTTTAGTTGAATAAATTTGTTTTACTTTATTTTACTATAGAAATTCACGATTGAATATGTCTTCTTCTGACGGACGCGAAGGAAAAACTAAAATCCTTTAAATCCTTCTGAGAGAATGATAAAAGCGATAGCAGATTTGGTTCCCGTGTCAGTCACTCAGTCAACTCCGTATCTTCTGTGGAGATGATAAAACTGCTTTCGTAGGCTTGCGTTTTAAAAAAGGATTTAAATCGCGCAATCGTAGGCGTGTAGAAAAGATTGCTTAGAATTGGTCAGTTCTATCCGCATCCAAAGATATGTATACTAATTCTGTCTCATTTCCAATGCATTCTAAAATTCAGATGCACTTGTCCATTCCGCGAATTTTATCGAGTAGTTAAAACCGTTTATTCATTTGCTTTATTTTTTAGGATTCAATATATTATTTCAATATTTCTGAATTCCAAATATCTATCACAGGTCGAAAGAAATGTCTTCATATGTACACTGCGGGGGGGGGGGGAATGGGACAGTTCTCTCGTTCTACAGGGCTGATTGACGAAATTCAAACTGCGTTTTTCGTCTCGAAAGTGCGACTTAGGATATGTATTAGATTTATATATAGCATTATATTGTTCTAAATTAGGTATTTTGATAATAAATCGGACATTTTCTGAAATGATATGCCAATTTTTTCCCCGTATTTCAATTCTACGACTCAAATTATGCCTAAATATTAAATTTTGTAAAATTTGCTGCGAAATTTACAGAGAAATTCAAAAATTTAACTTAAGGCATTTTCTTTTCAGTTGCGCCAATAATAATTCACTTGACGAAATTCTTAATTTATATCAACCTATTTTCCTTTCCTTTCTTTTCATTGCAGACGAGCGGAAAAAAAGTCATCGTTCATACTTTAAAATAATTTTCACAAAGTGCGTAAACTACATTTGACGTTATTATCGCTTATAACACGTATATCAAATTTCAAAACGCTACAATACGTAAATTCATGTATATCTTAGAAAACTTTGAATAAAAAACTCTAATTTTTTGCCTAGAAATACATCAACTTTAAGATGATGTTAAAATTTTATAGGTTATAATTCAAAAATGTTTTCGAAAAATTTATAAAAATTATTTTAAAATAAATCATAAAAAATGGGCTAATTATTTTATTTGGAACGAACCTAAATTTTGAAATGTGAAAGGAAGAATAAAATTATTTAATAAAATAAATGAGACATCAGCAAATATATACCAAATTCTATTAACATTGAGGAGCTAAAATTTTGAGAGCTAATTTTTTAAAAACTACTTGTACGATTTTTACAAAACTTGGCAGTTTGGCATAATTTGAGTCGTAGAATCGAAATACGGAAAAAAATTGGCATGTCATTTCAGAAAAAGTCCGATTTTGTGTCAAAATACCTAGATTAGAACAATGCTATATATAAATCTAATACATATGCTAAGTGGCGTTTTCGAGACATGAAAAACGCAATTTGAATCTCGTCAATCAGACCAGTAGAACGGGATATATAGAACAATACCATTTTTTTCCGCCCCCCCCCCCCCCGCAGTACACGTCTATTCAAGCTTTTCGCTAAGTGGAAGACAAACGCAGTCGACGATAAGATAACTGAGTGATATAATTTCGAAAACGTGAAAAGTTAAAATAACATCATATAAATATAGGTTTAGAAAAATACAGTTTATCAAACAATAAATTGCATTCCGAATGATATAATTCTTTTAATATTACATTTCTAATTCCGATGATATAATACTTTTAATATTATATTTCTACTACAGTAAACGTGATGAAAATATGAAATCGCGTTCAGTTACGAGATGCCTCACTTCTTTAAGTATACGTATAGTTGTATATTTTAGTCACAAATATCTATTTTTCGTGCGCTTATAAGAGTTTCATCTTCATGAAAATTTTAAGAATTTAAGCAAATGCTTGAACTTAGATCATAGCATTTTATTGTTAACACTATGCAAATTACATTTGGATTTCCAAGAAACAACAAAGGAGCAAAGTTGTCTACATGATAAATGTGCGATTTATTTATTATTTACAATAATTAATTAAATGCAAATAAATGAATGAAACTTTTAGTATTTATTAATTTCATTAATTTAAATTTAAATTTTAATTGAATATCGGACGTTTTGAACAACGTTTGTTTTAATATCGTCATCAATTTTGTGATGAACGAAAGCGAACTCGGATATCGTTCATAGAGTTTCATTAACATTACATCTTTTATTCCATTTAAAATGTGCCATAGCACAGTACTACTGACAAAAAATGAGGGAACGAAAGAATAAGTCTGTTAAGACTAAACTTTGCGGAAACATGTTTACATAGTATAACTAATTCATCATAATCAAGGCCGGCCCTATGGTTGATTTTGACCCCGGCAAGTTGAACTCTGGTGCTCTTTTTAAGTATAATTATAAAAATATTCACAAGAAAAAAACTAGAAAGATAAAAATGAGTTTATTACCTTGTTATTTTTAACATACATTTTCTTATTTGCATAGTGTGAAAAATTAGCTTAAATCACTTTTTCATAGCCTTTATATCCGAAAATCTTTTCATGGTATTTCCTACATTTATCCTGTAGTATCATTTTCTATAGACAAAATTGCCAAAGAATTCAATCTATCTTGAGACATGAATGACCGTAAGTACGCTTTTATAAGCTTTAATGGACTAGAGTTTCAATCCCCCAAGGCCATAGTAGTAGGCATTGTAAGCATTATTCTTAATGCAACACAACGATCTGAGGCAGTATCTTGTAACGTTTTAGTGTTTATGAACCTAGCGGCTTCTATTGGAAGCTTGCGATAGGCTATATTTGGTTTAGTCAAGAGATCAGATCCATTAATATCACTATTTTCTTGATACCTCAACTTACTTTTCAAACCCTGATTTGCTACTTTTAGTTTCTTTTTATCTGGCAGATGCAGGAACAAGTCATTTAAAAATTCCTCATGTATTATTGAAACTCTGTAATTGTTCAAATCTTTCTTGAAAAGAATTGATTGCTCTGTCCAGTATTACACTGATAACATGAATTTAAAATCTTTGTCTGATTCATCTGCTTGGAACCCAGTCTGTGCATTTATATTCAAAAGCTTTCTTCTTTTTCTTATTCTACATCTAATGCCATAGCTAATTCTTTGCTGTCTCTAGTGTTTTATTATATCCATTTTCACCATAATGAATTAAGCAATCAATGACACTATTCATTAGTAAAACTAAAGAAGATAGTTCCTCAGAGGTATTCTTCACAGTTTTTACTTGCAGAGTCATTATTTTTTTTATGCGAGAGAGGTGAAAAATGATTAATGCCCTCGCAGTCACTCGAACCTGGACCTCTCGAACACTCGTCGACTGTGCTGCCATTACACCACGACGGCATGTAGAAAGGAGAGAGAAAATACCTTATCTACTCCTCTACTCCCCCTTTTAAATACCTTATATACTGACAACATTTATTCTTGCCTAAGACAACTGCGCATCAGTGGTTTGAAGATTCAGTGGTAATCAACTTTCTAATAGTGTAGTAGTTCATTGTATTACATCAATAAAATATAATATATTACATCAATAAAATATAAATTGATTTAATTAAATATAATAATATCACAATCTCAGAAATCTCACATCATCACTGCGTCACATCTTCCATCAATTATCTGGACACACTCAATTGCGCTCTCAGCGCCCTCTAGCATTACACAGGTCTTACCATTCTCCCCGCTTAAACTCCCATGGAGTTTACATTACAATTTTCAGATATTCAGATAAAATTTAAAGTCAATAAAATTGCACTAAATATTAAATTCATTCAGTCTTTAAATGGTAGAGGAATGACTTTGTTGATGGCTTGCCGAAGAACACCTGTAGACATATTAACTTCAAGTACTCTGACCAGACCATCAGTATTATGATACACTTCTTGGGTGCGACCCAATGGCCAATGCAAAGGATTGGAGTTGGAGTCCTTTAGCAGCACTGGTTGACCAATCTGTAAGTTCGGCTGCGAAATGCTCCATTTACCACGATTCTGTAGTTGATTTAGATACTCTGAATGCCACCGGTTCCAAAATTTAGCTTGAAGTCTTTGAACCAGTTCCCACCTGGAATGAAAAGAAAGAGAATCCGAAGCAGTATGTGGTTCAGGAAAGGACAACATAGCATTTCCTGTCAAAAAATGTCCCGGAGTTAAAGGCTGTAAGTCATTTGGATCGGAAGAGAGCGGTGATAATGGGCGAGAATTCAGAACTACTTCTATCTGAGTAACTAAAGCAGTTAACTCGTAAAAATTCATGATAGCTGATTTTGCTACCCTTAAATCAGTTTCACTGATTTTATGTTTGCTTCTCACAGTCCTCCAAAGTGAGGAGAATCAGGTGGGATAAATTTCCATTGGATATCTTCTTCTGCACTAAATCCTTAAATTGCGTTAGATTTGCAAATGTCATTATATGCGTTAAGAATATTTCTCGCACCTTTGAAATTCGTGGCTTTGTCGCTCCAGATGACGGATGGCTTGGATCTTCTGGAAATAAATCGTCGTAAACAGGCTAAAAAAGCTTCTGTTGTTAAATCAGAAACGACTTCTAAATGCACTGCCTTAGTGCAAAAACAGATAAATAATGCAATAGAAGACTTTAAAATCACCTTTGACCTTTTCAAATTAGGTTTCGTGATTATAGGTCCTGCGAAATCTAATCCGACCTTCTCGAAAGGTCTAGAAGATACGACCCTGTCCCTAGGTAGATTACCCATCATCTCGCTTAACGTTTGATTCTTCGTTCTAAAGCAAGTGATGCACTTACATATTACTCTTCTAACTCGGTCTTGACCAGACGGTATCCAATATGACTCTCTTATTAAAGATAATGTCTATTAATAGTCTGTACGCCTGAATGCAAGGAGTTTCTATGATAATATTCAATAACAAAATTCGTGAAATGATGAGCCTTTGGCAAGAGTATCTAATGTTTCTGAAATTCAGAAAACTTAGAATGCTCCAGTCTTCCTCCTAATCTCAGTACCTCATTTTTGTCAATAAATACTTTCAGAGATGATATTTTACTATTTTTTGGAATACATTGTCCGTTTTT